AAAAATTTATCAAATAAGAAAGATAGTAAATTCTAAGCTTGGCAAAATGAGAGATAAATATCTTTAATTTTCTTGTCTCTGTCTTATTCTGTTCACACATAGAGCATTTTGACATTCCTTATCGTAGCTGTAAGCAGAACACGTGTCACATATTGACCTCGTTTTGGCGTGAGTCATAGTAGACTCTTTGTGGCTCAGTGGGTAGACGTTTGATTCCTCGTGGGGACTGAGAAGTTTTCTTCTTTGTCTCCCTCGCTCGAGATAGAAGAATGAACATCTCCCTCTAATTCTTTTTTTACCTACTATAATTCTTAACTCCTAAGACAACTGCATCTCGATGCACCGTGCGCTGGTCACATAGTCAATAAGAAGTAACTCGGTGCCCGTGTTGATTTCTCCTTGTGTGAAACAATGGCAGTACCTTTAATTCATCCTGCGTAGTTTAACCTTTCTTTCCTTCATAAGAGAGTAACAATGCATCAATTTCTTCGTGATTTTTTCCTTCACTGAAAAATTACAGTGCGTCATCGTCATCTTTACGATATTTTTATGAGAACGAGAAATTATTTATTTATTTATTTACGCAATTTTACGAGGCCTTAATGAAATATATTTTTTTCTTACTGAGATGTATTGTTTTTAATGATATTAGTCTTTCAGATAAGATCTTTTCGAGTGTCAGAATAATTTCCTGGTCACATTGTAGTTCCTAAACTTCAGTGGCTGGGAATTTTTCCTCTGCCCTTCCTTTAGCTTGATTCTTGATTAGCTGGCTGAGCGTGCAAACAGAACTCCGCGTCAAATCTGTGACGTAGCAGCCGATTATTGGCTGCAGTTGTTCATCCATATTCATTAGAAGTTGTAAAATTTTCGGCAAACCACACTGTCCATCGTAGAGAGAAGACGTGCCGTCTGTTGTGCTAAACATAACGTCGCGGTGTGGAAGGAAGGAGGCACTGAACCAGAAAAGAAGAGCAAAGAAAGCACTCTTATGTCACTACAACAACTGGTAAGCATTGCCTTTAAAAAATATTGCCTTAAGCTCCCTCAGAGATCTAAACGAGTAATTTCATTTCAACGACGTAGCACGAATCGGTTTCTCGGTCTGAGCAGCTTTTCATTTGAAATTAAACTGTATCAGGGTGTTGGCTTCGTGAAAAGCAAAACCTATAATTGTAAATGTTTTGGTGAAATGCTAAGATAAAAATGTTTTGCTTGCTAAGTGTATTGGGGATTTTATTTTGTATTTGAATGCGGCCACGTGGAAGTCTGAAGACTCTTCTACTCAGTGGCCTTTGATTCATTTGCATCAAAGAGCAAAGCATGATATATAATTTTAATTATGAAAATTTAGTCTTCATGGAAGGCAAGCATTTCCTGATCAAATTAATATTTTCTACTTTCAGGAAGAGAATTGTTGTCGGAAGGATGGAAGAACGGAAGAACAAAGATTCTGGTCAAGAGAAGACACTGGAATCGATGAATTTTAATGGATACTGCAAAGATAAGAACTTTAAAATTATTTAGTAATAGTAGCAAAAATGGTGGCCATTTATATGTTAAAGTATTGTATGAAGTCTTTGTTCTTTCTCCAATGGATAGAAAGGATTACATGGTAAGTGAATAGTTCTCAATTAGCCACCATTTTTGGAGTAGTTTGATGTGTTACGGATTGTTATGCAGACCCTGAGCCATCATTTGATTTATTTGAACTACCTGCTATGATTTGGTGTAATTTATCTCAGATAATCTTGTTGGATCGAATAAAAGACAGCCGGAAACAATTGGAAACTGACATATCCTAGCTACGGAATGTTGACACTTAAGTCATTTATTTCGAAGCTCTGATCGTTCATTTTTTGGGGGGTTTGTCTAACAGTTAGTATCACAGTAGATAACACAGTTGATGTCATACAATGGTGATATTAAAGTGGCACTCGACCAAAACACTTAGGCTAGACAAAGACGAAGTGGACTTCAAAATTGAAATCTTTTGATAGATTTGATCGATTTGCATATTTTTACTTCGAAAATCACACTGCTCAACAACATCGACTTGCGCTATCTTCAAAGACTGACTTTAAAAGCTAGTTTACGAAATTAGAGAAGACTCCACAACACATGACACCAACTATCCGTACTTTATACAAATGACTTTAAAAAAAGACCAACGCGGTCACTAAATGACTAAACAGAACCAACTAACCAACGAACGCCGTTTGAGTCTGACAGCCACTTTACTGCAAATCTGACAATCACTTTTTCAAACCAAAGTAGCAACGTTCGACTTACAAACAATTGTGCACTCGACTCTAATGACCTCTACTGAAGTCAGTCCCTAGTTTCGACAAACGACCTATTCAAGACTACCCTCGCCTAGACGATCGTGCATCACGATTGACAAATGAATGATACTAAGCTAAACAGTTGCCCAAAAACTCATGATTGTTTCAAATAAAAATTCAATTTCGGCATGAACTGTATTAAACTGGAAAATTAGGAACTTTTGTTGAAAAAAGTAAAAAATTGTTTTCCACACACGAAGCAAGAATTTGTAACGGTGCCATCTTAGATATATCTGTTACTTTGTGCCATCAACTGAGTTCGGTTTCCATTTGGAAGTAATGTATGTTTTAAAACTCTAATGCCTGGTCACGAGCTCTTTCTAGAAACTGATAACGTTGAAATTTACCGCTATATAAACCAGTTCAAATTGACTATTTTTTACGAAGAATGAATGAAGATTTTTATGATCCGAGAGAAGAATTTATTCGATTGAAATTAAGGTAAAAGTAATTTTCAGATTTGACTAAAATCAACGTAAAAATACGAGGCAAGCTTTTGACAAGTAAACAGAATATAGGTCTATTGGCGAAGGATTCGTTGTTATGAAAGATCATATTTGTCTCGCTCGAAAAAGAATACTACATTCATATTTGCTCATCACGATTCTAATCTTAGTAAAACACGTTAAATTACCCAGACAAACGTTACGATCAGAAAAGCAAATTTTAAAAAAATTAATTTGATAGTTTACCAAATGACAACTGCTATCACGGTTTCTTGTTGAATGCTTTCACGCATTGATAACGAGTTTCATGGGAATTTAAGGAATTTTAAACATATTTACATATTGTACAATTGAAATTTGCACAGAAAGCACATTAGTTTTACGAAGACGAAGCGGAACCAAATATGCAAACTAGTTATATCAAAATTATGAAAAAGCTAGTACTTTTGATTCCTCTACGAGAATGGTTGTCATTTTACTGGTTTACATAAAATGGTTTCTTTATCACGAACTTTTTATGATCATACTTAAGTCGTCCAAAAAACTTGTAGATATACTCGCCTTCGTAAAAGGATCAATTGTTACCCTTTGTACCAGGCATTTAGTTTTAAATCATATCGTAGTTAATTTACTCTTTATTGTAAGTATGAGGAAGATCTTTGGGGCAGTCACTCGGTGTAACACGGGAATACCTAAAGAAAAATAATCAACAAAACTATGAAATTTTTGTCTTCAAACTAGTTCATATGATTACAATAAAACAGAAATTGGACGCGTTTAGCGACTAGATCTTTCAGAACGATTCGTTGCAGAAATTCATAGATTGATTCTAACTTTTGAATTTCATGGCCGCTTTTTGGCTAAAATAGAATTGAGAGTCCGCTTCAAAAATTAATGTTATTCATTTCTAAATTACATTTCGGATCTAGGAGCTTAATTGTTAAATGTCTCAGCCTATAAGGCTAAATTCAAAATCGAATAGACTTTGTTTAATTTATTCGCAAATTTAATTTGAGAAACTTGGAGCCTAAAATCAATATCAAAGAGTATGCTCGAGAAGTCACCATGTTTTTCATTTAAATTTTGCCAAAATAGTAATTTTTGAATAAAGGAATTTACTAATAGTCTAAATATTTTCGTGTTTTTTCAATCAGTTTCCTGTGTTACACTCGAAAACTAGCGGCTTTACAGATCTTTTACTCCGATTAAATACATCATAGCAAGCTATAGGGTTTAAAAAAAAATCATTGGATCTGATATTTATCACAAGTTTGGAGATAAATTATATACTATCGGACGCTATGTAGCTTGCAATAAGTCTTTTTCATTAGGAACCTCCAACCATCATCTCGTGCAAAAAAATGGACTCTGAAATAAAAGGTTGAGAGATATACATTGTCGAATCAGACCTCTTATTGAAAAAGACAAAAAAGAATTTTCTAGATTGTTTAGATTTTTTTTCCGAAGAGTGAAGGAGAATTTGGCCTGTTTCCTTTTCCATTAATTTGCACGAGATGCTGTTAAATTACTTTTGGCGGTATTTTTTAAGGAAGCCTTGTTGAAATTTTTGCCGAAAATGTTGCCAAGGGAAACTCTGTGCAAAATGATCCAAATTTTCCCGCCAAAAGTCTTAGTATATATACGAAAAATTGTTATTGATTCAATTGA